ACAGCGAAAGAGATCGTCCTCTAAGATATAAATTATGATCTTGGGTGCATGAGTTAGGGTTAGGGTTACTTAGGGCTAGAGTTATATGATAGAAACGATGCTTAAAAGGAAAGTTTGGTAGGTCCTAATATGCGAAATGGGGTCCATATCCGCAGGCGGATTTGGACCGGGGGGTTAGGGTTAGGGTTAGGGTTAACTTAACTCAATAGCACTTAATCGTTATCTGTTTCATGAAATGGACAACACACCCCAACATCGTGGCAAACTTGTCTTGATTTTAAGTATCGTCCAATTTAACATAAAGAATCATAATTATTCTTCGAATTTTAACCTAAACTCACTTGGGTGTAGCACTTTGCAGTACAACGGGCTTCTTTTACAATGTTGTCATAAGAATAGGAATTTCTTTGGACACCCAAGCAACTTATAGCAAAGGAATTGAGGAAGAAGAATCTGACGAGGTGACCATTGTGTAGAGTGGGAACTGTGAACGCCATCTTACTCGTCTGAAAAAAGAAATTTATACGCTGTTAAGTCTAACATTGCCGAGATATTCTGCACATAAGCAACTTTTGAAATAAAAGGGAAATTATTAAGGATCGTCCACGCATTTGCTTTTAAAACGATTAGGCATGAGACAAACATAACAGGGGTATTGATGGGCAGGTTTAATGACGTAAGTCAGAGGAATTTAATCCAGAGATATGGCCACAAAACGATGAAAGTAGATTTCAAATGATAACCAGGAGCAAAGAAGCCAAAAGTGACCGAATTGTTTTGACCTCATTTGAAAAATGACGAAAGAATGCAGCTGATGCAATCCAAATGATTCATGAGGTGTCTCAGACAATTTCCGAGACCCATCCATAATCCATAACCTATAATAATCCCTGCTTATTTAAGAGTAACTGTAAGAAGACATTGTCTTTATGAAGAGCATCAGGATAACGGCACTTATTCGATATTTGGTGCGTGAACCATGCATTAGCTGACTCCGACTTTCACGGCAAAATGCAATAGACAGCATATTTGTTTTTTTCAACTCTTTATCAAATAAAAGCTTTTAATCATCCTTCTATCAACGAAATAGTTCCTGGAAGAGGCGTTTCTAAGGTTTTATAATAGCTCGTACCTAAACATTTTCATTCGATAAGTCAATGGAAATAGAAATCCTCTATCTATAACAATCAGTAGAGAAACACACCCATAATCTTACATCTATATATTTTAATATAAACTAATTGCGATTTTGAGACGGCAATACCACATTATATTGACGGCTAGTCGGGAGAAAATATATTCCGTATTGGGTGGAGTCGCTTCGTGACTCCGCCCAATACGGAATATATTTTCTCCCAACAAGCCGTCAATATAATGTGGTATTGCCGTCTCAAAATCGCAATTAGTTTTTTATCACGATCCATCATCTATAAGGATAAATAAAACTGTGAAATATCAACCCGCGCCTGATCGAAATATCAATTCTTTCTACCTGCGAAACGTATCCATAGTAACACTAATTTCGCATGCAAATAACTTTGTCGCGGGTAATTTGAAATTCCCCGCAAGTTTATAGTTATATAAATGAGTTGATTGAAACCGAAAAGTGTTGAAAATTACAGAGGAATGGAGTCCGGAGAGCCATTTGGTGATGAAATACCAATTTTTGATATTTGTGGGACTGTTTTTAATGAGTTATTTAAGGACATCGGTGTACTAGAGGTCGATGCGAAAACCGAAACAGCCGCCTCGAGGGAAAATAGTTGGCGGAAAAATAATAACACTTTGAATTCTTGCCAGATTAACATTCATTTTCCAACTGGCAAGTGACTTTGTCACATTACTAATGTTTATGACTGTAAAAGTTGAATTTTCAATAAATACTGTTGAACTTGAAGTGAAATATTTGTACAATTATTTGAATGCGGCGGTAATTTGTTTGTGTACCTCAGCAACCTAATTTAGGAGGGTCTGGATGGGGGGGGGGGATACGAATGTCAGTTGTCAGTTAAAATTTCGGCTATTTATCAGTTGTCAGTTAAATTCTCGGCCATTCGTCAGTTGTCAGTTAAATGACTGTTAATGATTAACTTGGCAAGTTAATTATTACTTTCCGACCCCATAATTTTAGCTGAAAAGCACATATAGCGAACACTCGAGAATTTAGTCGAAAACTGATACAATAAGAACTGCTTTTTCTTAGTACTTGAATGAAATAAGATCTTTGAAATGACTTTCAGTCCTTCTTTAAGTCAGTTACCACTCTTCTGAACACAAACTTCCGTTTTCCCGAGCGATCATCAGAAAGAAAACAAACTTGTGAAAAGTCCTCTAGCATAATATATTGGATTTATGTTTTGTTTTACAAGCTTCGATTGCGGTTCGCTCCGATGAAATGATTGGAAAGGAACGTTCTTTGGAACTAGGTTACTAGAGAAAGCGTAACTTAGAAATCCAGGCGAAAATGGGCGCGAACTGGCCGCCCAGATCTAGAAACCGCCGTAATTGGGGTAATATCTTCATCCTCTTGGTCAGAAACGGTCGTTTTCTGAGTCCGTGTCATATTCGTCTGCATGTATTCGCACCGTCAGC